GAAAAAAATGAGTAAATTTGAATATTTGACTGGAAATCACAAACAACTCCATAGATCAATGGTCTTAGGAGTCTTAACACACCACCAAATCCTTCATGAAAAATCACCTCCCAAATGTCTGATATTTTTTTCAACCAATCTGATTTAGATAATAAAAAAAAAATTATTGAGCAGTTTGGACGTCAGACGGTACAGAACATGTTACAGAAGATATAAACGGAAGAAAAAAAAAAAACACTTCACAGACCTTTTTATTCTTTTTTCAGGCAAACATTCGCAACCCACTAAAAACAGCTGCCAGCCAACTTTTTTGGGGGGGCCCACTAGTTGAGCACCACTGCTATTGATAACCACAAAACTTATTAGCTGGGCTAATATTTTCAATTTAAGCTATCTGCACTCTCCCATCGCATCATTGCTGACTTTGATTACATTTAGTTTTCTCTTCCCCAAACATGACTGATTGCTGCTACAGTAGAAGAACATTTTTTAATTCAGTGGAGGGTTGGGGCGTTCACATCCTTCATATAACCATGTTCACAATGTACTCTTGTTAAGTCCCATAAGAGAGCCTGAAGATATGTGGAAGGAGTTTAACACTTGATGAGGTCACAGTGGGACTGCACTAAGCACTCATACACTTAACAGGAACGCGCCTCAACGTATGGAAGTCGGAGATTGGGTTTTAACCAAATTGTCTTCATGTTGAATCCAAATTGACCTCCCACCCTTTTGCTGCAGAAAGTTAACAAAATTCTGAGTGGAATGGGCAGGTGTAAGTAGTACGCTGAATAACAAAACAACAATAAGCCTGCATTTGTATGCTATGGGTCTTTTTCTTCAGTATCCTCTAATTTGCAGCCCTGCCGTCAAAATTAAGGAAATATTTTGCCAATATTGCAAAATGACACTTCTGTTTGCATAACCTTTAGACATGCCTGATATCAGGTTTATTTATCCAGTGAATGTCAAGGGCAAGAGGATAAACACACACAGGAGGAGTAGAAGTATATGGAGTCACATACAGGCTGCAGCCTTAGACCTTTAGGGCAAAGTTTTGCTTTTTAGCCCTTTCTCTTCCCGCTGACCGACATGGCGAGTGGAGTGGTACAGGGCGAGAGGTCGACAGGGATTGGCTCTAGTAGCTCTATAGACTACGAGTCAAGACTATAATACCCATGATTCATAGGTCAGTGTCCTCTCTGAGCCCGGTCAAGCCACTGGGGTCTGTGGATAGGGGGCTTTAGACTGCGGGTCGCCCTGGGGTCAAACCGGAGCTGCATTGTCATTAGAAAGAGGAGCATACATCTGCACACACACTACCCACCGACATCGCTATCTGTCCCCCTACCTCCGCTCCCCTTCTCTCATGCTGTCTAGTCGACCAAGCCCCCCTCTTCTCCCAGCCGGCATTTCCCAGAGGGAATGATTGACAGTCATACCCTTAACGTTGACAAACTGACAGCTACAGCTCAGCCTCTTCGGTGTGTGGGATGAGGTGTCTTTGTGTGCGTGTGTTTGTGTTTGTGTGTGCGAGGTCAGGCTGGGTGGGTTATGGTCAAGGAGGGTCACTCTGTGTTTTGGCTGACATTCCTAAAAGAAGCCTTGGACCTGCAGTCAATGGTGGTGCAGCAGCATGTGCGTGTGGCTTTGACCGAATGTGTGTTAATGTGTGTGTGTGTCGGTGTCTGCGTGTGTGTGTGTGAGTGGTGGTGGTTTAATTTTTTGAAAGAATGTGCAAAAATGCAAGTGGCTCAATTTCAGGTACCAATAGTATATTACAATGGTATACTAATATACTGTAATTTTACTGGTTATTCTAAGCTTCTCATTATCTTTTGGCTTTCATGCGCTGAAACACGAGCCTCATTCATTATTTCTGCTTCCTTTCTCACAGATACAGATAAAAGAAAGTCAAATTGCTCACGTTCCTCGCAAGAAAATCTTATTTTATCTGTCACCAGTTGTTGCTCCTCTGTCCTGTTTGTCTCAGACCCTCTCTTTATCGCTCCACACTAACAAGCCGTCCTTTTATCTCATCTCCCTCTCGAGCTTTTTGTTCCCCCTCTCCCTGTAGTCTATTAAGTCCCACTATTAATTTGTGTGTGTGTGCGTGCTCCAATGTGTGTCTGCATGTGCGCCTGTCGGAGAGAGTTCATTTGAATTTCCCTTCAATCACTTCCTATTACCCAGGTGATAAATCAGCAGGGCTGATGGAGCCTCCAACCCAGCCCTGCTGCCCCGGGTCCAAACGCCCACCACAGCACCCAGCAGTCCCACTACCATTATAATGCTACATACCATGTAGTCACTCAGAGAGGGCCAAACGTAACTAATAATTATAATATTCTCCTGAAAAATATATTTGTCCTCTGTACGGCCAGTGAATCTAAAGTTTCTGGTCTCATACTGGGTGGATTGTGCACTCCCCGTTTTATTCCAAACCTCTCTGGAAAGCTTGAGTTCAAACCCGCAGTTGTCGTAGGGAGATGCCGACATAGCAATGGCGGCTTGTTAACTTCCATTCCACCACCCTCCACCCCCCCAGATTCGTCCTTACGCATTTTATACCCTATTGAATACTGACTTCAGCTGGACAGTGTTTGTGTAACCCAGCGCAACAGCCTGGCTTTGTATTGTGTTTTGAAGCAGCGACGGCGGGATTCAATTTCATACTATGCACACGACACATTCCAGTTGAGGACACCTCCGTCTTCTAGGTTCCCCCGGCGCACATACACAATCACAATCACTGAGCCATCATCAACACCAAATCTCAGATTAACCACAAGTAGCCAAACAACTGTAGTTTTATTTACCATTAAAGCTATTCCTAAAAGATGTCGAGTAAAAGTCAGTATTGAGCTTGAATCTATCCTGCAACATGTTTAGTTTGAGTCAGATGTAACCTGGAGAAGCTGAGGTAGTACATATGTTGGGAAAATTTTGGAGTCTTCTGGGCGGGGCTAACAGTCACTGATGGAGATACCTGCGATCTTAGATTGCTCCCAGACTTCATCATAGACAAGCTGGCTTCTGCCTTTTGTTGTAGCACAAATGCTCGCAGTAACACGTGCAGACACTCAACACAAGCTTCAGTGCAAAGTGTCCTTAAGTTTCCAAAAGTCTGCAAAATGTCCAGAAGGTACTGTAATTAATTATCTGGGTGTTTCTTCCATCTTTGTATATTATATATATATTAAATCAAAATCAAAGCATATTGATCAATAATAAAATCGATATAAAATCTAATCGTGACCTAAAGAATCGAAATCTAATTAAATTGTGAGGTTCTTGACAATACCCAGCCCTACTAACTACACACACACACACACACACACACACACACACACACACACACACACTCATATATATATACATAAATATATATATATATAGATTTAAAGAAATCTTAGTCAAATTTTTCATATAACATTCATGAACTTCTGCCGCCTCTCCCCAGAGTTGAGGTCTATCTGGCCCGTCAGGAAATAAATATCCTCCCCACTGCTGCCACGCTCAGTTTGAGCGCAGATGAATTCCTTCCCCACAATCCCTGTCTCCGTTCGTGGGCCTCTGAGGGAATTGTGTTTGTTTATAGTCGAGCCTTTTTCCATCAGGAGCACACAAGACAATGTGGAGAGAGGGAGAGAGAGCGATGGAGAAATCCAGATCTATTTGGGGAATGGAGAAAAAGGGAAATACTATTATGCAAATTGGTGCAAGCCAACGGGGCCAGGCTGTGTGTGAGTGTGCATATGTGTGTGTGTGTGTGTGTGTGTGTCAGAGGGGCCGATTAGGGCTCATCTGTTATTGATGTGAAATTTGGACAAAACCATTACCCTCTCAAATGTGAGTCAGTGGACCAACCTGCTGTGTGTAAGGGACGGAGCGAGTGAGCCGGTCATAATCAGCCAATAGGAGACATGTTTTTATGAGTCTCAAACCCTGTAACAATACAAAGATTAGCATACACTGTTTGTGTCCACTTAGCACAATTTATAATTTTAACATTTTAGAAATCCATTCTTTTTTTGTTTCTGAGTCTGAACTGCCAATTAGTCATTCGAGAAAGCTGTCAAATCATCGGGAGTCGGTCGTGAATTAAGAAATACAAGCTAAACTAATTATTGCAGTAAGGAGGAAATACTGTTTATTTTATGTTGGTCTCATTAAACCAAAACTTGCTTCTGTTTGATAACTTGATTTGGTTTGATTGATTTGGTAAGTGGAAGAGGAGGCGCATCAATTCTGTAGTTTTACCAGCCAGATCCCTTCTGCACATGTCTTGACTCCAAATGACATCACCAGAGTGATATGTTAGCGCCCTTCACGAGGGTGTTTCAGCTTCAATTTAAAATGTACAACAGAAGGAGATGCGTCCATATTTATAGACAGTCTGAAGTCTGAGCATGGAGTTATTCTTTCAGAGTTTTCAAAAGGACTGTGCTGTCGTTTCAGTTCTTTCCATATTATTTTCTCCTCCTTTTCATTTATTCAACATTTCTCTGCATCATTACTATCCCATCTCACCCTTTCTTCATGACTTGAGTAAAGTACGTCCTGACCAATGTTTAGCTTCCTCCTGCCATCTTTTCTTTTAACCCTCCATCCTGCCCCCAGTACGACTCACACCCCACCTCCTCCTCCACCCAAACGCCAACCCTTCCAAGGCAGCTGCGTCCCCCCTCTTTGATGAAGGCTGATGGGGCCTTATGAGCGCTGGAATTGACAACATTTACGGGGCCGAATGAGAATGATCCATCTTCCTTAGCGGGGCTGTCACCCCACTGGCCAAACTTCATCATGACCAATTACCACGGCAGACCCCGTCTTCTCTGTCGCTGCTGCTGCCTGGCCCCCATCTACATGGAAACATGGAAACATTAGACACCATTACAATACGCCAAGAGAGGGAGGAGGGGCTCTAGGGAAAGTGTGTATGAATGGGTGGAAAAAAAACTACAGGTGTGATGTGTCAGGGGGAAAGGGGGGGGGGTGTTAAGAGAGAAAAGAGCTTAAAAATGTGTCTGAAGTGTAAAGAGAGAGAGAGAGAGAGGTGTGTGTGTGTGTGTGTAGTGTACAGAGTAAGCTCTTATTTGGCAGGTCACAGTCCAGTGGTTGTGTTGTGTGTTGACGAGCACAGGGGTGTTTAAGAGGTCAGTGAGCACAAACACACGCCCACACTCACACCTCCACACACACAGATGCAGAGGTATTAAAAGGGTCAGTGCGAAACTCTCACCTCATCACCTAAAGGAAATTCTGATTGCTGTCATTAGTGTACACACACACACACACACACACACACACACACACACACACACACACACACACACACACACACACACACACACACACACACAGAGGCAGGTTAGCAGTCGAGAAAAGAGGAGGGAATTCAATTCATGTAGAAAAGTGAGTTTTTTCACATTGCACCCAAAGCAAGTTGTCACCTTGGTGAACAAAAACAACTCAAATGCAAAGTGATAAAAAATTGTATTTGGAAAAGTTGTAAATATTTATATTCAATTAAGGCATGTATAACGGAAACTCTCAGCCAGCATGCATCAATGCCTTTTTTTAAACTCTGGTTTCTCCTATGATAAATTATTTTTTTGTCAGTTTTAGATCTTGATTTATCTCATTATCTTGGGAATAAAAAAGTTGGTTTTCCAGTGATAACGATCAAATTTTAACAGTTTTCTCGAGATGTTGAGAACTTGATATCACGGAGAAACCAGCATTGCTCATTCAGAGATAAATAATTTGATATCTGAGGAAAACAACCAAAATTTACTTTTCATAGGAAAACTGAGTAAAATAAAACATATGGATGTATTTCTATTAAGGGCTACCATAATATATAACAACTGTACTCAAACACACACACACACACACACACACACACACACACACACACACACACACACACACACACACACACACACACACACACACACACACACACACACACACACACACACAAATGGACAGCGGACAGGTCATTCAATCATGATGAGCGTAGTGATCCTGAAAATAGTGGTTAATCTATATCTAGGTGATCATCATTGTCACTGCCATCCCTACACACACACACACACACACACACACACACACACTGGTGGAGGATGGAGGATGGATGGGTCGTGGGTCTGTGTCGGGGTCAGATGGAGGTGAGGGGACGGTTTCCTATATTCATCTCTCGTCTGCAGTTATGGAGAGAGTTCATTAAATGAGGTTTTTAGAGAAGCAGCTTCACGTCTAACGTTAATTCAAAGATTATCATGTTTTATTTCTTATTTAAAAAAAATACAAAAATTATACTTTGTCCACAGGGAGTGCTGAAAAGTGACGTAACTCCAACATTCCTCACAAGCGCTTTAATACATTTTTTATTTTGTGGTAATAGTCAAAAAACTTGTATCTGGTAAATGCAAACTTAAGAAGACATCTGTAATAAAGGTTATGTAAAGAAACATCTGGACATGTGCAATCAAAAGTAAAACTTATTTAAAGGCTTACTATGAGACTTTCAGAGTCAGATCAAAGCAAAGTCTCTCTTCAGACACACCTCCTTCATCCCTCAGCTCCCCTCCTGTCTCCTCACTTCCCCCCGCCCCTCCCGCCCTGTTTCACAAGCAGCGTTCTGTAAGGCAGAGACAGCAGCAGACAAGAGCTAATAAACATCTGCAAAGTAAAAAACATTTTAAAGTTGGTTCGGTTTTTAGGCCACAGAAAGTATTTTCTTCAAATTGGAACGTCTGTTGGTCTCCTTCAATCTACTCATGGAACGAAACAGTGTTTTAATGCACCTAGAAACACTTTCTCAGAGTGGGCGGGGCTGTCAAAAAAACAAGAAGACAAAAAAATCGCACAACTTAATAACAACCAGAAATTGCTTTGCCACCGCAGTCTGCCCTTCTCTATATGTTTTACACTTTGTTGTAGTGGCTGTGTGATTGTATGTGTGTGTGTGTGTGTGTGTGTTAGGAGCTGGGAGCTGGTGTGTAGGTGTGTAGAGATGATCACAGTAGTTATTGTTGTTGGTATCTGGGGAGACAAGAGGCTTTGCATTAGCCATGGTCTATACCATGTCTCTGTGTGTGTGTGTGTGTGTGTGTGTGTGTGTGTGTGTGTGTGTGTGTGTGTGTGTGTGTGTGTGTGAGGAAGTGTGTGATGTGTTTTTCAGTGTGTGTGTGTGTGTGAGGATGGGAGAGATAAAGAGAAAGAGCGAGCTGATCCTGTGGTTATAGACTGTTGGACCTGGTTGTACAGTAAATCCCTGTCTTTGTAAACAGATCAATAAACTCTCCACTGTAGGAGTCTTTCTGTACGTGTGTGTGTGTGTGTGTATGTTTCTGTACCTGTGTGTGTGTGTGTGTGTGTGTGTGTGTGTGTGTGTGTGTTGTTTCATACTAAGGCTTCATTGCTCTTTGCCACAAGGCAGCATACTACAATACGTTTATGCTGTATGTAGCAGAACATGTAATGATTTCATATCTTTTTCCCCCTCTCTTATTTCTCAGACGTCGGACTATTCAGCCATGGCCTCGCTCGCAGGTGGACTGGATGAGATGAAGAACAGTTTGGCCAATCCCGGTTCGGGGGCGGAGCTAGGAGCCAGCGTGTCCGGTCCACAGTCCTATTCACTCGTTCCAGGTAAGAAAGACATCCAACATATAAACTACACTCCTGCTCAGATACAGACTTTTTGTTCCCTCAGTTAAAGCGGACGATATCTATAAAACAGGGACGAGTATTTTTGGACGATCAATAAAACCGCTAAGCATGTTTTGGGATTACACCCAGGTGTTTCTTATCTTTAGACTTGTTTTTGGGAACATCTCTTAAGCTTGTTTTCCTGAGTATTGCTTTAATTCCTTTTCCATTGCACCTAAATTGTCTCCACTACATTATGACTGAATCCAAAAAAAATAAGCAAAACCAAAAAAAGAAGTCTAACGTTAGTATGACTTTAAACACAGTCATTTGTATTCAATGCGCGGTGACATTTCAGTTTTAAGTCTACCTCAGCAGAGGTGGCAGCTACACAGATCCTAAGTGATCCTGTTTAAAGAGCTCAGTGCGCTGGGAGAGGTGAGCAGCCCAGAGGAGTGGAGGAAAAAAGCAAGGTGGATAAAGAGAGGAAAAAGTGAGGGGCCTCGCCTCCTCCTCCGCCGTCTCCATTTAGAGGTGCCAGGAGAGGCAGCGGTTAATTAAGAGTAGACCAGGGAGCACTTGGACAAGGCTTCGGCGTTCCCATCTGTAATGAGGGAAATCATAGAGCTGGGATTTTGGGATATCTGGGAAAGGGCTCTTTTTTTTTTCTCTCTCTCTCTTTTTAACCCACTGAGGAATATTACCTGGAAAAGAGCGACAGAGAAAAGGAACGAGAGAGAGAGAGAACATTTCCATTTCTGCTTATGCATGCAAGCACGCACATTCATATTCACACATGCATCTTCTGAATATTATGCATGCATTTCCTTGCCTTGTCTATTCCCTCAGAATAGGGCTCCCTCTAGGGGATCAGATGTCTGTGTGTTTGACGCAGTGTTATTGCTTCCTTGAAGGGTTGTTGGTCCGGACACAGGCAACATTTAGACATTCAATTTTCCTTTCCAAATCTGTAGGGCATTTTCATTTCCCCCTGATCTTCACCTACTCCAGTCCAAAGGGACATATTGTACATGGAAGATTTCCTCCATGTTTGACATTTGTTGCTCTGATGGCTGTTTTATTCAGAGGAGTTCAAGTAATAGAGAAAGAGAGCCAGAGGAAGCATGTTTTGTCCGCTGCTGCAAGTGAGCGCGGAGGAGACTTGTACTTGCAGTTGACCTCTACAGTAAAGCTGTGGAGAGCAGATACGTCAACACAACTGGCATACATGAACACAAATACAGTGTATGCACAGACACAGGAACACACACGCTCACACACACACACACACACACACACCTCAGAGGATCTGGCCCTGTCTGCCCCCTCTAAGTTGGGCTGTAGAGAGTCCATCTCTCCTCTCCTCCCTCCCTCTCCTCCGTGCCCTGTGCACTGACCCTGAGCGGATGAGTAGCCCGTCTGCACTAATGCCTCGCTGTCGCGTCAAACACCGAGAAAAACTTTACTACACTGAGACAGGAGAGGGGAGGCGGAGAGGGACAGAGGGGGAAGCACGGAGGAGAGAGAGAGAGAAGGGATTCATGAGAAAGAAGCTCAAGTAGTGAGGGAGCTGAAGAGGCCGATATTAAGTGAAGAGGTCAGAAAAATGAGAGGAGGAGGAGGAGGAGGAGGTGGAGGAGCCTCAGATGATTTGTAACCACACAGTTTTACTTTGCCTATTCCCCTCCCTCATCAACTCCACTACTGCTCCCATCTATTTTTCCCTTTTTATGCCTTGACCACGGAGCGGAGCACTCACATAGTCAAACAAACTGGACTTAGAGGATGAAGCGTCAGGATGCTGTTTGTCTTTGGTTGGCTTCTTTCAGCTGGCACCGAAAGACTTGAGAGAGTTTCTCGTGTGGCATTTCTGATTGGCTGGTATTTCTGATATTTAATTAAGGTTTGAATGTCAAATGTCCGACCGCTGCATTTGTTTAGCGCTCATGAATATCATTTCTATTCACATGGCTTTTGAGCTCCCTGTGAAACTAACGATAATGATATTTCAGCTGTCCTGCTTAAATCAAATCTGTAATTTGGCATTCAGTGACTTTCTTTTTAATGAAATAACAGAGAATCATATTCTTGATAATACAAGAAACTAAATACATAATGGATAGTGAGTCACTGAACCAAAAAAAAGAAGGGATGACAACTCCCTCAACTATTTCAATACTCGACAAACTAACGAGTTTCCCATCAGCCTTTGCTGCACTCTGTCTTTACTGCTCTGCTTTTTTTTTTTTACTGTTACTTATAACCACTTATCTTTTTTTGATATTTTCGTATATTTTGTTTTAAATATGCTCGCAACATCATTAAAAATGAGGGTATGTCCTCAATTACTCTTGAGATTTATATTCAGGTTAAATGAAGAAAACTAATTTTTGTTCCAATGGGTGACAGTCTGTACATTGTTTCTCCGTCATAAAGAGTTTAATTCAGTCTTTTTCTCGAGATCTTGAGAATCAACTCGTTATCATAGAAAAAGACAGCGTTGTTATTTACGGGATAAATAAGTCGAGATAGAGAAAGAGAGCAACCGAAATGTACTCGTTATTACAGGAAATAAAAGTAAAATTGAATGATGCATGTCAGCTTAGGACTTCTGTAGAAAGGTGCTTTTAAATTTAATTTGTAGGTTTTGTTTGATGCTTTAATTATATCTAAATGTATGCACCATTGCTTCAATATAAATTACATTTTGCTTGTAACAGATTATTTTTACATCATGGTAAAACTCAGATAAAGAAATCCACCGCTGTAACCTTACTTCTCTTCTCCGTCTTTGATGTTCTCTCCTGTTTCTCCATCTCCTCTCCTTTTATTTTATGTTCTCTCTGTTTCACATCTTCTCCTCGTCCTCCTCCTCATCCTTCTCCTCCTCCTCCTCATCCTCCCTCCTCCTCCTCCTCCTCGTCCTCCTCCCCCTCCTCCTCCCAGTTAGTTAGTGGTGGTTAAGTGGAGGGGAAGTGAATGGGATTGATGGTGTTAGCATCTGAGCTGTTTATGATGATGATAAATGTGTGTGTGCACGGAGAAAGAGGAGGGTGTTGATGTGTGTGTGTGTGTGTGTGTGTGTGTGTGTGTGTGTGTGTGTGTGTGTGTGTGTGTGTGTGTGTGTGTGTGTGTGTGTGTGTGTGTGTGTGTGTGTGTGTGTGTGTGTGTGTGTGTGTGTGTGTGTGTGTGTGTGTGTGGTGTGTGTGTATGATGATGATGAATGGAGGGCTCCTTCTCCACGCACTCCCAATGTCTACTGCGTGCAAACATAGAGAAATGATTTGGGCCGACACACTGTCATGTAGTCTAATGCAGTTATATATCCAATCCACCCGCTGACAGACAGAGGAGGGAGGGGTGGAGGGAGGGGTGGCAGAAAGAGGAGGGGGAGATGGTAAATTAATAGATGTTAGCTGATGGAAAACAAGGAGGAAGGAAACAAAAGGAGGGACATCCTACATGTGCATTTTTAGTAAACAGCCTCCATGAGGGGTTTACATGTAGGGCTGTTATTTGCAGCATTTTAATGATATTGAAATTGAATTATACAATCCTGCCATGGTACACTGGATGTCAAATATTGAAACAGCACATTGGAAGAGTACCTTTGCCTTTAAAACACAGTTTGGATCAGGCGGAAACCAATTGAAGAAAAAAATGGATTAGCTGAAGGATCAAAGTAACTATTGCAACAGTTGGGGTCATCTGTGGACTAGTGGTTGCTTCGCACACCCCATGTACAGGGGCTAAGGTCCTTGGGCGGGCGTCCCGGGTTTGAGGCCAGTCTGTGATCTTTACAAATATCCAAGACAAAGGAAATGATCTGCATTTCTCAAACCATGGACCTACGAGCATTTGAAAACTTGGGTGTTGACTGTGTGGATAGTAAATGGTAAATTAACTTTTCTAGTCTTCTGACTACTCAAAGCGTTTTTACACCGCGTGTCACACCTACACATTCACACACTGATGGCAGAGGCTGCTGTGTAAAGTGTCCATCAGATACTGTAATAACTAAGCCAAATCATGCACAATCATTCAGCGCTTGACCTTCCAATTGAGAGACGACCAACTCTACCAACTGAGCCACAGACGCCCAAATAGTGACTTTTATCTTAAATATCTATGTTTGCCTCACAAAACTGTCTCATTTTAACATTGATGAAGCTTTTTGAATTTATTATCTCAAGCTCTTATTGAATCTAACCTTTCTTTTTTTTTCCTGTCTCTTAAAAACAAAACATTTTCTTAACCAAATTTTCAAATGTGTGATGAAGCTTATCGATAAGTCTTAACATAACCTTTCAGATCTGTATCCTGTACGGCTGCAGCGTACAGCGAGCTCGCTTCTCCATGACTGTTCTCATCCTCTTAAGTCGATAGTTTCAGCTTCTTGGCTCTCAGTTTGTTGCTCCTTAGGGGAGAGCAAAACGCTTAAAAAAAAAAAAAAAACACGTTTGTACTCGCTGCCATAGCACTTCTTTAAAACGCTAGCACAAGATGATGCACTTTATCTATGGGAGGATGTTTGAAACTTTTGAGCGTGTGTCTGTAAAAGAACTTTGTCATAACTTTTTTAAATAAATTATGTCTTTTTATAGTATTGTGATGTCTGGATGTCCTTAGATTTTTGAATTTGTATCGCTTTAATGTCTTGTTTATATCTCGGTAATGCTGAATCTCCAGCCCTTTTTATATCCTGATAAAGAAACCTCAAACCATATTTGCAAATAGCAGGCTTACAAACTGAACAAAACAACGAGGTGTAAATGTGATGATGCTTTTTATGTCAGGATTTTTGATAATGCATTGATGACAGCATGTGTGTGTATTTATGTGCGTGTGTGTGTGTGTGATTACAGGTCGAGACCTAGCCAGCACCACTCTACCAGGCTACCCTCCACATGTTCCTCCAACTGGACAGGGCAGCTACTCCACCCCCTCCCTCACTGGCATGGTACCTGGTGAGTACACGAGCGCGCACACCTGCATACACACACACACACACACACACACACATGCACACACTAATTCAAACTGTGCCAACTTTTCTGATAACCAACAGTGCCATCTTACATCTGTAACTGTATTTACATATCTGTTTGAATTCTCATAAGATTATGTTTCACGTTTGTGTGTGTGTATGAGTGAGTTTTTTTGGTGTGTGTGTGTATGTGAGTGTGTATGTCGGTGTGTCTTCAGGGGCTTACTTAGCTCTGCCACTTCCTCCTTCTTGTCTGTATGGCTGACAGTGCTCCCAGGGGGTGCTGTGTGTGCACGTTTGTGTATATCTTTACATATACGTGTGCGCTTGTGCCCGTGTTGTGTGCGCCTCTCTGTGTGTATCATTAGAAAGCAGCCACAGTAGCACAGCTGTCCCTCCTCAACATTAGTAATTTGTTTTTAATGAGAATCACCAGTGACCCACGACTAATTCATTCATTCCCTTCCACTCCGCCTTTCTACGCTGCTTTTGTGATTCAATCCTGGACCGCCATCCTTCCTCTCTCTCTCTCTCTCTCTCTCTCTCTCTCTCTCTCTCTCTCTCTCTCTCTCTCTCTCTCTCTCTCTCTCTCAGTCTCTCTCAGTCTCTCAGTGCTGGTCATGAAGTTTACTGCAGAGAAATAAAGACAGATACACAAAAGCGAAAGCAACAGCGTCAGCAGAGCAAAGTCAAAAACAATGTTGTTTACAAGTTTTATCTCTGTGTATTTTCGATCATTCAGTCTCTGAAAATACGTACACACACTCACCCTCGGTGGACATGTAGGAACAGCACGTCTAAAGATGGGTAACCCTGTCGCCCTGCCCCCCCCCAGCGCTCACCCCGTCCTGTCCTCAGGTTTGACAGCATATTTGTGTGTGGGTGTGAATGTGTGTGTCGGCATGCTATTGCTAGCGTGCCTTTGTGTGTTTGTTTTTGACAATGTGTGTGCGCGACCTTGACACTGAGCTACACAAGGGAGACCCCTGCGCCCTCCACTCCCCCCCCCCCCATCTCCTAAACAACCTGACACGTTGCCGTCACTACGGTGATGACAAGGGGAGGATGTTCGCACCCGGGGATGCCATGGAGACCGCATCCCCGACCCCACCTGACAGACGCAGATAAACATACACACACACACACACACACACACACACACACACACACACACACACACACACACACACACACACACACACACACACACACAGTGGGTCGTGTGAGATAGAAAACTTGGGTTGTGCATCCAAATACGCACAAACAGACACACAAACCACCTCAACATCTAAGAGATATTGTGAATTCTCCGACTTGCTGACTGGAAGGAGATAATCTTCCAGCTTTGCTCCTCCAGCTCCACCATGTTTTATATCAGCACTTCCCAGGCAAATTATCCTCCTTTTTGTCCGCTCTGTCTAATATCATACCTTCATTAAGCAAGCAACTCTCTTCTGCTGTTCTTCTTCTTCTCTCGCTGCAGCAGGGGGGCTGACACTCAGAGGGGGTGTAGAGGAGCAGTGAGGCAGAACCGACAGAACGAGAGGGAGAGAGGAGGGATGGAGGAAAGGGGGGGGCATCAGGGTCTGTGACTGTCAGCTATGGGAGAGGAATCCCCCGGGAGGAGTGAAGGTTCAGGAGAAGAGAAAAAAAAGAGCCAAAGATAGAAAAGAAAGGAGCGCAAGAGGAGAAGAAACGGGGAAGAATGTTGTTTTGATGTGAAGGGTGACGGGTGGGCTGTAGTCTGAGAGGACGAGAGGGAAAAATAAAAGAGGCAAGGGGAGGAGTGGGAGGGGGAGACAAGAGGAAGGAAGAGTAGACCCCAGACAGTAAGTAGTAAATGAGGGAGAAAAGCTATGCTATCATCCGCTGTATGGGAGGACCACTACAGTCTCGCCGAGATCTCCAGTTCAGTCACTCTCAACTACTCTGCAAACCATTCTGCTGAATACTGAGTGAAGGTTAAAGTGTTACTGTGAGCAGAATCAAAACTGCATGACAACACTGTCATTACCTTTGGAAACAAGGCCGAACGGTTAAGTTGTTGGAGCACCATCATGCTACCGACAGTTTCTCTAACAAATAGCAGTTATAATTTGCAGGGGGGGTATCCAAACATTTTTGAAAGAGGGGGCCAAACGGTGCACTGGCTTATACGTGGGTTGTAGCTGGATGATGCTTTTTAGTACAGGGGCGGCTGTGGCTCAGTTAGTAGAGTCGGTTGTCTCTAAACTGGAAGTTTGAGGGTTTGATCCCTAGCTCCTGCAGCCACATGTCCGTTGTGTCATTGGGCAAGACTCGCTGCTTCGTCAGCGTAAAAATGTGTGTGAATGTATAAATGTCAGCTCATACTGATGGTCACTTTACATAGCAGCCTCCGCCATCGATGTGTGAATGTGTAGGCGTGAGTAGTCAGAAGACTAGAGAAGCTCTATAGAAGCTCAAGTCAATTTACCGTTGGTTAATTATTAGATTTGATTGGTTGTTTGATTCAGAGCGGATGATTGCTAACAGTCATTAAATCTATCACTTTTAACGTCAGCAGGCTGTTGCTACAAAGCTGAATAAACTGGATTGAACGTCAGTCCTGCCAATAACGGGACAAATCGCCTGTTATTGTTAATGGACTGGCATCTGGGGTGGCCAAGTGGATAACAGGGGCACATGCCACCCCAGGCTAAGCTTCGGACACGGCACTGCTACTTTTCAAAACACAGGAGGTCCTTTTTTTAAACACATCTAATGTTGTTACTTTTCTGTATAGATGTATCACACAGTGCTTTTACATTCAAACAAGTATCCCAAGTAGGCTTTTGTAGTGTTTTAGGTCTTTTTGGTGAGAAATACAATTTTAGAGCATGCAGGTACTTTGTAGTTAAAGCTTTTAATGAGATGCAGCAACTAACATTTCAAAATCTGTTACGTCAAAACATTGCTTCATCTTATTGAAAGTTGTATCTTCACCCTGGTTTAATTAGTCCAAATGTTCTTGGAGTAGTACCCTACTAAAAACAGGATTCTTGGCATTTAATCAATCATCTAGTCCAGATGTCCAATCAATATTTCCAAAAGGCTCAATGAACTTGATGTTCACTTCCGTTGGTTGGCTTGTATATCAAACAGGGCTCACACATAGAAACCAAAAATATCCAGTATTTTATTTCTCTGGGACAATGACGACGAACAGACGGGATCCTCCTCTCTGTCATCGGCTGTTTCTTAACCCTGCTCTGTTTCTTGTGTTTTTTTTTTCTCTCAGGGGGAGATTTTTCCGGAAGTCCTTATTCCCATCCCCAGTACTCCACGTACAATGAATCGTGGAGATTTCCAAACCCCAGTTTATTAGGTAGGTGTGTCCCACATCTCTGCACAGAGTTCTGCTCAGAGATCAATAATTGTATCATTGAGTTTCTTTTCATCCCACCTCACATCCCGCTTCCAACCTTTCTAATACACTCTTGTAATATGCTGTATCTTTCATTCGCCGCTGTTCAGCTTTTCATTACATTACACTTCTTTCCGTTCTGCACTTTACAGTTGGATACATCATAGACATACTAATGGTTCTGTGGAGGGATTTTTTCTAAAGACTGGCAATTAAAGGTGTGAATAGGTTTGAAGAAAAGGGAAGACAGAGTGAGAAAGAGAGAGAGAGGCAGAGGGAGAGGAAGGAACAGATTGGGAGGCATTTCTCTGCATGAGTCATCAGTGCTGCATTATGGGATTTGTAAGATTTTATGTAAATCTGTTATTGTGGAGGAATTTCACTCTTACCACTTATTTATCATTTTTCATGCAATCATGAGAAGGATGAACAATTAACAATGTGAACTCATTCTCTTTGAAATGAAATGTGTTCTTCTGGGACAGTCTGAAAGAGGTGTGACAGCGCCAGAAATATAGAAAACATGTCTCCTTTTTTTATGATTGTTTTGTTACATTGTGACATAAAATATTACTCTTTCTTTAAAGGTCACATGTCGTACTGCTTTTCAACAATTTGAAATAAGTGTCAGCGCTCCCCAAATCATGTCTGTGAAGTTTCTTATTCTAAATCCTGTATTTGATCATGTCTATAAACCCCTCTATTTCAGCCCTGCTCAGAACAGGCTGTTTCTGTGTCTGTACCTTTAAATGCTAATGAGCTGTGTCTGACCACGCCCCCTCTTTGGAAGAGATTGGGTAGCTTGGGCTTTCTTTCACCAGGCCTTACTGTTTACGGTGAGAAGGCAGACTCAGAGGGCAGAACAAACACCTAGCTGTGTGAGTGTCACCCATCTGGGGGAGGGGTTACTGCCCTTTGTGATGTCATGAAGGGAGAATCTCCAAAGCACATATTTTCTAAAAAGCGGAGCAGGCAGAAGACGGAGAGGATGGACTTTTCTCTTAATTGGGGATTTGTAGACAGACTAGGGACACATGTTAGTGTCCAGAAAGTGTATTTAGCATAATATGTGACCTTTAACACTAAATTAGATTTCTTTTGCTGTCAAATTTAAACTGCATTTCCAATTTAATCTCAGGGGGAGTATGGGATGATTGTGAGTAATATTGCAAATCAATGTGCACCACTATAACTACAAGTGAGTAACTCCTCCCTAGTGATGACAAAATCTAAGTCACCTTAAGATAAGAGAAGAAAAACCACCTTGATTACAAATATTTTGCTACAAAATATTCAGAAACACTCTTTGAGCTTTGCATCTGTGCTAAAGAGGAGAAATTAACCCTGAGCCAAAACTACAGTCAGTGTCAAAGTCGGCATCTGGGGAGCTATCTAAGGGTCACGTTTAAAGATGAAAAGGTCAATGATCGACGCTTTGAAGGTCAATAGGTGAGAAGGGTCAGTTTTTTTGGCCTCCACCTTTTATCCCTCTCGTCTCCTAACCTCTCGTCTCCCTCCCTCCTCTGTCCCCAGTGTTTCAGCAGGATTATGGGTCTCTCCTGGGGACGGAAATCGGCTGCTCCTCCAGTCTCTTCACCAGCCAGGCGGGACAGATGCAAGGTGGGTAAAGAAAGAAACAAAGAAAGAAGCAAAAAAAAAAGGCAGGAGGTATAAGAAAGAGTAAGAGAGGTGTTTGTAGAGGAGGAAAAATGATCATAGAACACTGACGGGAATAAAGGGGAACTTTCTGTATGATAACGGATGAGTGGACACATAATATGAAGACAGGAGACACTGAAAGGTTTAAGATTGATGGTCGGGAGGAAATGTGGGGAAAAAGATTTGAGTAAAAGTGACCAACGACAGAAAAGAAAAGGGCAAAGAGGGAGACAGAGGGCGTCTGAAGACTTCCCTGAGACTAAATAGTTTGTCAGACCGGCTTAATGCCTCACTTCCCCAAAGAGCCTCCTGAGATTACCTGGACTGTGGACAGACATAACCTGTCAACACACAGCTGGCCTGATTGATGAAAGTGACAGAGACAGGTGTGTGTATGTGTGTGTGTGTGTGTGGAGGAGGGTATTTTTCAGAGTTTCAAGGTGTGTGGGTGTGGGTTTCTGTGTGTCTTTGGGGTTACAGTATTGAATTGACCTTTTCCCTGCGGAGAGAATAGACTCAAGGGATCAGCCGTAGTAGAGCTGTACTCAGTGTGTCAGCTTAGACTGTCACTTAGATAGTGTGTGTCTCTGCCCACGTGTGTGTGTGTGTGTGTGTGTGTTAGAAGGGGACAGAGTAAAAAGAGTGAAGGCGGATGATGAGAAGAGTGAGAGAAGGTAGCCTGAGTTCATTTCATCGGTCGTACAAGAAAAAGGAGGGCCATTTTTTTTCTGTCATTAGCTTCATCAGCTGGTGTCATCTCATCCCTGCCTTTCACGGCTCACATTCAAAGTACAATATAATCTTAAAATTGAAGCTGCTCATTTCACATTTGCACTGCATTTCAGTGGGTCCTGAGTATTCAGAGGACGATTCAGATTTATTACAACTCGGGTCTCACTTTTGTCAATCTAACATCAGACCTGTCGGTAATAAAAAGCTGCACTCGCAAGTTAATTGCTTTTGAACGTGGGGAGAGACGGAGCTCGAGATGAGGTGTGGTGAAAGAAACATGATTAGAAGTGTTAGACGATCACACCAGTTTTAAACAAATCCCAAAGCAAGCCACGAGAAAATATCAAACAAGTCCATCAGCCCACAGGACGTAAAGGTCGATTTCTTCATACCCTACAGAACCTTTCCCTATTGTGATGACAGAACAGATACATATATATATTCCCACTTTATTATAACTATATTAACACCTTTTTGTGACGACGTGTGATGTGCGCGTCCTCACAAACTTGAGGACATAAGATGCTGTATACACATGAGCACTAGGGGCAGTGTGGAGCCAGAGGGGGTGGGACAGAGTCAACACAGCAACGGGGACAACAGTGGCAGAAGGTTTCAGAGACCAGCTAATAGACTTAAGTCTATTAACTTCATCTGTGTGATGCCACTGCACAGCTATAACCAATCAACATAGAAACCTGCAAAACTAAACGGAAACAAGTCGAGGACTGTTACGTCTGTGCACCGTGAAAAATGCTGCAGAAACAAGTGGTAACAGTGCTGACGTCGTGTTCTGTCATCAGCGACCACCTATCTGATGTTACTATTGTTATTGATTTAACAATATGTTAGTTCTGATCAGATATTATAGTTCCCACTCCAGTGTCGTCATGTTTGTAGTTTTACATCCGGACGTAGGTAGTTGCATAAGGTCTGAGCTCCTGGTGTGCCTCTAGAGGTGACCTCCAGTAACACAGGTAGTGCATAGCCAAGTATGTTGGTTGTGTACAGGAACAAAGGTTAAAAAGCAATTATATCTCCGGCCTTACTGTCATCACCTGACTTTCACCTTTGCTGTAATATTCACTGTGGCGCCTAGAGGTCACCACTTTATTATGATCATCGAAAATACATTGGCTGCTGATGTTAGTAATGGACGGCCTCTGTGGACTGTATGTTCATCTCGACAAAATGCCCACAAGTGACCCAAAATGTCAGCTTTTTTTGGGGGTAGCCTTGTCTTAACGAATCAGATCCCACATCCTGGTGAGCACGGTGATATCACAACAAACAGACCTGTGGCTAAAACCCCTAAAAAAAAGACCAAAGTTGTGATAAACATTTCTGGATTACATGAACAATACGTTTATTCTGCATTTTTTTTTCCTCAGGGTCACCGTACTACTACGGAGCAACATCACGGGGCGCGGGCCCTGCTGCCACTGCAACAGCCTCCGCATACGACCGCCACTGACCCCTCCTACAGAGAGAAGAGGAGGATGAGGAGAGGGATACAAGGGAGGGAGGAAGGGAGGGGACGGATAGCACCAGCTTCGCTCAGTCACAAAAAAAAAACTGCCTGCCTAAGTGCAAAATGAGGATGAAGATTTCAATTATATGACGTCAGTAAAGTTCACATTTTCTTTATATGACACTCAAACCAACACTTTGCATAACTTAATGTGAGGAACTAGGCATGGCAGAGACAAATAACGGATGATAAGAAGAAATGTTCACCCTCCCACAATGCAACAAGGCATGTTATCCCCATTTTCTTTTGAAACAATCATCTACTAATCCAAGAAGTCAGCAGAGCAGTGACAGAAACTGTATTGTGATTTTCTGGGTAAAACAAAGTGTTTTCAGTTATTTGTGATTAAATTCTTTGAGCTGATTCAAAAAAAAAAAAAAGAAACACTCATTCAAGCAGTCTTTTATGCCCCCCCCCCCCCCACATCAATCAATCAATTTTCTATGCCATGCTGAGGTGAAGTAAAGACAATCCAATTTTCATAACTCTTAATGACCAAAATCCTCCACATCATTGTCATTCTAGTCTCTTTGATTTTGATTTCACACTTTTACCCTGACGTCACAATGCTTTATACTTTGGGAGTGTTCAGTTCAACCACTGACCGTTTGCTGAGCGTCCTTTATTCAGCTTAATGATGCTAGGCCTGTCAAGCTTATCTACCTTACACAGCGCCACAGTGATTACTGCTTACTGTGGCAGATTTACAATCCAAACTGTAATCATGTTTGAAACCTTTAATCCATTATTTCAGACAGACGATGACATAGACAGCCTCTTCATTTCTTGGTGTTACCAACTTACATGTTGACTGAAGTGATATTCATCTATGGGAATTTTATCACTGTCAGCTAGCTAGCAAATGAGGCTAACCTGGCTTAAATACATATCCACGTTTTTAAAGAGTCTGTTTACATTCATACAAAAAGAACAGCATTAGGGCTAACAAATCCTTGCTGCTTTGATAGACATGCTAATATTTGTAGCTTACCTTAAACCAAATCCACTCATGGAAATGTGCGCTGCAGTTTGCCCTATCTTGCTGATAGTTTGATGAGCACAAATCAGGACATCCATTCACTATTTGTGTGTGTGTGTGTGACATTTACAACATGTATTTTTAAATGAACAGTAGCCTTAAAACATGGATGTACTGACGTCACCTCCTGGTAGCTTCAGTCTATAAATATTACACACAAAAAAAGCACCCCCCCCCCCGTGTTACATGAACTTTTCAGACCAAAATCATTTTGGAAGCAGGCTGTAAATATTTTTATTTCTGCTGTCAAAAGACAGGTTTTTCAAGATGTTAGTGAGTGTGACGTCCAGAGGTCTGCAGCCCAGCCTCAGCTGCTCACAGTAGGAACCATAGTTTGTTGCACTTCTGCGCTCGCTCCGTGTTATTTTTAACTCCAGATGTTGGCAGCTTGGCAATTTTTTTTTTTTACATGTCCAGCCTGTTGTGTCTACCACATCTTTTCCTAAAACACAAGTGCACAAGCCTTTTCTAAATCTGGTCCATATTTTAGTTTTTGCGCTTCTGTTTCCAAAGAAAGGCGACAACATAAGACATCACTCTACATGATGTATGAAAGCTTGACGGGCCTGCATCGCTGACTTATTGTCTCTAAAACTGTAAATCATTGTCATTGTTTTGGGATGTGCTGAAGCAAATGGTAAATTTCAGTGGTTGTTGAAGTACCCCAATGTGTTTCCCCCCGTTTTGAATCCTTTATTCTCACTTGTTCACTTCCATTTGAAGTGATTTAAATGCTCTGGACTGACGGACATGCCTTTCAGTGAAGCACAGCCATGAATCTGGGCTCCCCGCTGTTCAAAACAAACGGCAACCAAGTTCACATCAGACCAAACGCAAAATCCAACAGGGAGTGTTTTTGTACATGAAGGTGCTATCCTCCCTCCCCGGCCAAGACTTAAGTCGTGATCAAGAGCTATTTATGGTGGAGGAGACAGAGTAATATATTAAGAAGCTTTTCCGCGCTGCACTCCGGTGTGAGAGTGAATGCCTGTAATGATTTATAATATGTGTCACGCTGTTGTGCTAGAGTAGTGATGATGATGATGATGATGACGATGCAGTGAAAAATGAAATCTTAAAAACTGTCAATATGGAAAGAAGTCCTTGTTTATGAATATGAGGCGACTGCGATTTTCCTCTTAATGGTTTGTCGCCTGGTTTCAGTCGACACGGGTGCCACTGAGTAAAACGCCATTTTTTTCCTGCTTCCTGTTATAAAAAAATAAAAAAAAGAAGAGTCAGGACACGGTGGCACCCTCTCTTTTCTCGCTCTCTCTCGCTCTCTTTCTATTTCTCTCTTTAAACTCCCCAAAGATGGGCCCCCCCTAGTGGATCGGCTGACTTACTACAAAAGCACAAAGAGACTCAATCATCATTTAAAAGGCGCCATATTCGTTTTTTTTGACTTCCTTTCAGAACCATCAAGTACTTTTTTCTTCTTCTTCTTTTATCATTTTGAGTGCTTGTCCTTGTGCTGTTTGACATCCTGAAACTATTTCTATAAAAGCATTGCTTTCATGAAAACACACAAACAAGTGAAACGGTTTGTTTTTTTTGTTGTTCGTCTCCTGCATAAGTTCTGCGCTGTGACAATGTATGACACCGGGGTCGAGGCCTTACCCATCCATGTACAGACAGCGTGGGACAGATTTGCCCTCGAGCACTGATCTGGAATCAGTGTGTTATCCTCTCTCAGATGTTTGCGGGGCCCACAGTGTTGATCTTGCGAGGGGGCAATATCTTCCTAAACCTGTACATAGCTTCCTGTCTCACTTCTGTCCATACCAGATTTGTACAATAATCAGTGAACGAGAAGAGTATTCACAATGTCGATAGAAAAATCACATTTGAATTTAGAATCTAGTGATGAAGCTTTCTTTACCATAAAAAGACGAAGAGGTGTGTGGTGTTGTCTTAGCCATCGTCTGCAAGTGTTTACACATTTTCTGTCCCTTCCTTTGTTTTTTGGGATGTGTGTGGCTGACTGTAGCGCATCACTGCTGCCGTGTAGTTTTTACTTAGACGCCCAGGTTGGAGGCACCGAAATCTGCAGCGTGAGACTTTAAATATAGTTCTATAAACACAAACCTATAAACACAGAACAGAGCTGTTAGTTTTTCAATCTTTGTTGTTTCTGGGTTTTTGAAGTAGTGATGAAGTGGATCCTTTTACATTTGTAGACTTTAAAAAAAAAAAAAAAAAAAGTTGTGTGCACACAACCCTAAAGAAGATTCTACTGACGGCTCGCCTGCTGTGCTGCCAGCGCGCTCCGCAGCAGGAGCCTTTTCCTTATTTCTGTCTTTCTCTCTTTGATCTTTCTGAGGCATTATTGAACCTGAACCACACCAGCTGAAAACAAGGACAGTGCCTTTAGTTTTATATATGTCAACACCCCCGACTGACCATGGATCATTCAAACGTATTCAGCGCCCCTCCCGTGCAACTCTCAAAATGTAACTTTGTCTATCATGCATACACAGGGCTTTAGATGATATGAAGTCTAAAACAAGTTACTTCAATGCCAATTCTAAATTATTATTTACATACTTTACCAACAGAAACAATGTGGCTCTGAAAGCAGGAAATATACTCGATCAAAGCGCCCAAATTTTCAAACCGCCGCCACTCAGCTGGATGTTTCCCAGAACTCGTCAGTCACATACTTCTAATTTGGTATTTTGATTGTGTTGAAATCCCACTTGAGTGAAAATCCTTCAGCAATCTCCTCATACATATACAATAAACAAACGCCTGGTGACAAAAAACAAACAAACAAACAAAATATCATTTAAAAAAGAGATCTATTTCATTAGAGCTGATATGAGCCGTGTAAAGTCAAATAAGATGAAGGACTCCTTTTCTCTGTTATCAACTGGGCATGCTCAGTGCTGCGGCTGAGAGCGTGAAGAATTCAGTTGTAATTGTTAGAATTGCTGTCATATCATTTCCAGCCACAAGTGGCAGCACTGAGCAACCCGTTCAGACACCAAGGAAGGAGCCTTGCCTTCGAGAAAACGTTCCTCTTTGTAAAGTTTTTAACAACTACTTCTCAGTTTGGGATACAACATTCATGGTCCCAAAGTTTGGTGCTCCTCTGACTTTTCTTCTCGCACCATCATCATTTCAGATTCTTTATAATACAGTGAATAGATACGACAAAGGCTACTAAAAAGCAAACAACCATGGCCCCCAGAAGATGTGCCCTTTTGATTTGGTAATCCTCACACTTATCCCTCGGGTGCTACCACAAGGTTAGCATGTGGTTTAAAATGAAATATCTCAAAAAGTGTGAAAACGCATTCTCTACATCGACCCTCCTGGAGCTGGCTGTCTGCAAAAGTTCTTATCACGCCCACACTTTGGTTTGAGCAAAGCTAAGATGTTCTTGATGTTGTTCTCAGCCCTGAATCATAGAGTTTATAAAACGTGGACGTATTCTCATTGACATCACCCATTGGTTCCTGAAGAGGCGCCATGAAGCCCAACGATGGCAGTCGACATATTTGAAACGCAGGCTAAGAGCGGGAGTTAAGGCGGGCCTCCACTTGTCTGTCAACTCAGCTGCACCCTAATTCTGCAAATATACCAATGACTCTGAGACTTAATAAACATATAAATGGATAAGTTTACCCATACAGTATCTAACAATAAGGAAATTAGTTTTTGATACAAGATTCATTTTTGAACCAGGCTGTAAACATGTTCATGTCTGCTGTCAAATTAAGATTTTGAACATGGGTTTTAATGGGGCTTCTGCAGCCAGTCTCAAGTGGACACTCGAGGAACAAATGTTTTTTTTTTTTTTACACTTCTGCATTGGCTTCATTTTTTCACACTGGAGGTTGAGGCTTGCTCTGAGTCTACGTGGCCGTCTGATGTATTTTCTCCAGCTTAACTAAACCTTAAAAAGGGCTTCCTTCGTACCATCCTCATCCTAAAGTCATTTATTTTGGACGTTCTTCTCAAGCTGATCTCTGACTGAAATGTTTAAGATCATCAGAGTAATAACATGATGAGCAGCTCTGGATCGAGGCTGAACGAGACCCATAGCTTGACAAGGAGTGAAAACAGAAAACATCTGAAAAAAGAAACGCAGCAGAATACTTAAAAGGCTCTTCATTGAAATTGCGTCTAATTCAACTACAGCATCCTAAAAAATGTATTGCATCGTTTTTACAAACACATGCTGACACATATCTATGTGAACTTGAAGAAATATTGATTAAAGTCGTTCTCCTTGAGGAAGAGTCCGCTCACAAGAAGCAATGACACCAAACCCTGCGTATTGACGCCCGTTCTCTCAGAATCCAGTGAAACATTAACAGGATTATTTGTTAACTATACATCTCGCAGTGACACACAGCTCGCCTTAACATTGCTTTGACCTAATTGGTTCACATGTGGAGAGGATGAGTTCCCATTGGCCGGCAGTTGTTTCGATTGGCGGCCGTGACATTGACTGCAGCGACGAGGGGGGGGGGGACTGTCATTGTGGGTGGTACTGTAGGAAGCACACACACACACACACACACACACACACACACACACACACACACACACACACACACACACACACACATAAATATAAGTACAGACACTCTCTCTCTCCCTCCCTTTGTCCTTTGTGGAGTGTCGATCGCCCCCCCCCCTCATGCCCCCGTGTTCCCCAGGGGAGGCCAAACCTGCTGTGCCATCAGAAGCTCACTCCGTCTTTCTTCTCCCCCTCCCTCGGCCCTAATCTCATCATATCTCAAGCTCCCATCTCTCCCCCCCCCCATAGAACTGCCACACCACCAGGATTAGGGAATATTAAAAGTATTCTGTTGATTTCAGGCCTGTGACCTTCCTCAAAAAGCCCTCCCTCGTTCTTCAGACAGCCTTATTAATCATTTTCTTTTCCTCCCCTCTCCTTTTCTTACTTTTCTCTCTGACTATTCAGACGTGATGCTCACTGTCCTGTCAGAAATCCTGCATAGGAATGAAGCAGGGTGTTTTGTGCCAAAGTGAGGTCATTTCAATGGCAATATTGCTGGTGGTAGCTATATTTGGCCAGGAATATTCTGTGAGATTGCATCTGGAATTCCTTTTTTTCTCATGCTGATTCTTGAAAGTGTAGGAAACACAAGTTTCAGATCAAACAGGGGCATTTCATCTCCATCTTTTCTACAGTTTACTGTCCATGAAAATACAATTGCATCCTGAATTGTTATCCCAGCTCCAAGTCAAATAGGACGCTGAAATAAATGCAAATGAGTTTTTTTTGTTGTTTTTTTTTTTTTGCTTTATTGTGATTTCTCAGCGAGCGTGCACCGCCTGACTGTATCTCAATATGAATCCATAAAGATGGCTACTGCCTCGGTGAAACCTGAGGGGATTTCAGCATCACATCTTGACAGCAATTAGTGGCACAATCTGTTTCATGCTCGCTGATATAACTAGGCTCTGGACAGATCTCATACTGAAGTGATACAATGTTCTGTACATCTTAATATTATTCAACTGTGGAAGAGGAGACATACACAGGACTCAGCCTACAAGAATCAACTGTGCTTTTTTTAAGCAGATGTTTCAATCAAAAAAAAAAAAAAAAAGAAATAGACAACATGATTTTTCACCTTACTGTGGCCTTTCGTGTAACAATCTGGAGTTTTTTTGTGTCCATGGCTTCCTATCTGGGGTGTAAAAGAGATATTTATATCTGTAATGTTTTGGTAAAAAAATCAAATAATGAGCATACAAAAGACGGATAGAAAAACACCAGAGCGCAAAGATGAAAGTAGGTTTTTAACAATTCTTCAAAAATCCAACGCGAACAAAAAGAAAACATATCTGTAACATTCACCAAAGCCTGTGATGCCTGTTTTAAATGATAGATTCTTGTACAAAATAAAAAGGTATAAAATAGCAGAAAAGACTTACAGATACAAACACAAAGTGAAGATAAGAAATGCCTTCAAATATTCTGGAGGGGGGGAGGATTTAAAAAAATAAAAAAAAGTAAAAGAAAAGCTTCTTTAAGAAAATGTGTATGTTTTTTATTCAATTTTCTAGTAGTTGCAAACAAAACTTGGTGTTTTTTCTCTTTGTGTGTTGTGTGTTGTCTTAATATTTGAATGTATTTTACTGCAGTGCGAATTTGCCAAAGATATCATATCACTTGATTCCTCTCTTTTTTTTTTTCCATTTTCTTTTTCTTTTTGTTTCTGATTCTGTTCAGAGAACTGGAAATAAATTGTGAATTTGATGTTCTGGTTATTTTTCATAATTCTATTGTTGATATTATTGTTATTTTATTTCCTGGGTTTCTGTGAAATATTAAATTTGCAGTTTGCTTGATGCATCTCCTCATACTCGGTCTGTGTACCTGTCCACCCGTCCACCTGAGTGACTGTTGTTGGTGAATTTATTCCATTTATGTACCTGTAATGTGAAGCTAAGAAGTAATTATTTGTAAATATTTGCCATAATTTTATTGGTCCTTCAGAATAAAAAATAATTTTTTGGAGTTAAAGCTTCTGTGTGCGTGCTTAGCTGCAGATCTAAGTGTGTTTTTTAATGGAGGTCAACAACACACACACACACACACACACACACGCGCATCCTTATTGCTGGTTTAAAAGCCACATTCCTCAACATCCAGTCAGCGTTGACTTTCAGAGCAGGAGGCTGTTGGTGTGTCAGTGTGACCCCACAGATCGAAACCCCTCCCTCTTCTCCTCCCACCGCTCTGACTCGATGGAGTGTCCCAGTGCTGCAGTCTTGGCTGCTGGCCGAGTCCAGGAGGGGGCAGAGGTGTGTGTGTGTGTGTGTGTGTGTGAAGATTAAAGGAGGAGGAGAAGTGGGAGGAGGGGGGAGAGGGGTGATAATAGGACACAAGCCGCGACATGGCAACAACACACTACGCACACAGAAAACAGCACAAACCCAGCTTGAGACACAGACTGCGCTGTCCACAGCTTGGGTGCCTGCCCAGGACACCAGAGCAGCCCGGTATGCCTTTGTGCATGTGTGTGTGTGTGTGTGTGTGTGTGTGTGTGTGTGTGTGTGTGTGTGTGTGTGTGTGCGTGTGTGTCGAAGCCCATTTTGGATACTTGCCAACTAAAGGCAGGCCTCTTAGATTGTGAAAGAAAGACCAAAGTATAAACACCTGTGGAGAAAGTTAACAATCATGATTAACTCCATAACGACGGGGCCGGAGCGACCTGCTGTGTGGCCCTGCGGGGCCCCTTCCTACATTTTATTCAAACTTTTATTGTCCTGAACTAATATTCGATTGTTGAATTTGCACAGTGATAACAGTGTTGGACAGTTAGAAATAAAAAGAAAAACTTTCAACTAAGATGCATTTCAATTTTTTTTAACATGTCTACGTCTATTTAGTCGCCATGGAAACCAAGACACAGCATGATCAACCAAATCAGTGGGTCGATATTTCCTTTAGCTCTGGTAAGAGCTTTGTGAAGTCTGAAATACAAATGATGGAGGGCTTCAGTTTTAAAGACATGGGTCTTTAGCAACATGCCAGTTGCATCATGGGATTTGTAGGATCCAGTGTTTGTGAAGTAAGACTCTGTAGATTGGTTGCCATCTTTTTATAGTGGGGCTCTTAAAATCCTGCAGACATTAAGAGTAGATCTTAACACAGGACTGGGCAGCCAGGCTATCCCTGTTATTTTAATAACCAAAAACTTAAATTGTCACACTGACAGTTTGGTGCTACCGGGACCCTTAATTTAAACCTTCTCCCTCATTACTTCTGATGCATGGGACAAGGTCATAATGAGAAAAGGGTATGGGATGGAGAAAGTTTAATTTAGCCTATTCTATAGTTCAAAAAAAAAACTTTTGCTTTGCTCGAAGACTACACAATTTATCCAAACATTCACAGCCTCAAACGATGTTTTTCTGACAGGTGCAGAGCTGATGTAGCATCTGTCAGATCAATGTCTGCTTGGAAAACGAGGGTTTGACAGTGTTTAGTTAGTTAGAAAGCAGCGCCACACCCTCAGCCCTCTTCACTCTCCTCCTATTGCTGCAGATTACATAACATGACTAGGTACTGACATGTTCTACCTCCCTCCTCCTCCTCCTCCTCTTCCTCTGGCTTCCTATACAGAGCAGGAGACGGACAACAGTGGTACTTATGGAGGCCAAGAAGTCATGCAAATTAACGTCAGTCAGCATCGGTATTTTTTTGGCCCTCCAGAGCCCCTGCAGGGAGGAGGCGTGGGGGCCAACTGAGGATAATTGGGCCTCAGCTGATTAGTGAAGAGGGGCTCACAGAGGAGGGAGGGGGGTGAGAAGGGGAGATGCTGAAGAGATATCAGGAGTGAGAGGAGGAGGAGGAGAGAAACTGACAGAGCTTTGAGGAAAAGGATGGAGCAGGATGTGTGTGTGTGTTAATACACGTGTTGCATATTCATGACTGCTGCTGCTGCATCCTCGCTCACTGAGCCATCTTTTGCTCTCTTTCTACTGAACTCTTTATTTCCATGAGTGCATTAGTTCTGGTGAAATCAGCGATAATAAGCAAGTCATGCAAATACTGTACACAATTTACAATATTGTAGTTCTTTCCCCAAACATTTTGTTTTTTGACAATCACTCATTTTCATTCATCTCTATCAACAGATTCTGTGTATGAAAACAGATGTTACAGATGCAACTCAAGCATTTTTCACACATGCACTCTTGAACATGTCTATAAAATTTCAGGACAGTCCGCCCCTGAAAACAAATCCAACGACACGAGAAGCAGCAAAAATCAACTCAGCCATCATCATTGGATCGCTATGACATCAATGTGAAAAATTACTTTTTTTTGTCTTTTTTACTTGATTTTTGTCTCTGTTTTTCACATATATTACACATTTTTTGTAAAAAAAATAATAAAAAAAATAAATAAAAAAAAGCCAGAAACATTTAATCACATAATTACAGGGATGAGGGGCCTGAACCGAGGTGTTCTTTTTTTCAGGGGGTGCTAAAGACCCTGCTAACCCCTCACTACTGCAGCCAGTGCATGCAAATTACTTTTTACCTGCAAAAAAAAAAAAAAAAGAATAAAAAAAAAAAAAAGAAATATAATTACTTAAATGTTCCTTTTTTATGCCTGTATATGAGAGATAGGACAGTGGAGAGTCAAAAACGGGGGGCGAGAGAGAGAGAATAGGAATGACAGGTCAGATTCAAACCCCGGCCGTCCACTCTCAAGGACTTCAGCCTCTGTACATGGGGAGTGCGCACTTACTGTTAGTTTACCGGCACCCCCACTTAATTATTTTTTAATTAAAGAGTCTTAGAGAGAAAAAGTAAAAACTTTGAAAGCAGACTTCTATTTTAAACGGTCAATGTTTTTTTAAAATCGATGTCACAAATGATTGCAAGAGAAAAGTCAGCAAACACACACACATCACTTATTCAGGTGCTGGATCAAAAAAAACAACTGGATATGATGCAGAAAGACTCCCAAAGACATTTATTTATTTGCTATATGCTTTAAAAAAGACAACTTTTCAATTCGGACCAGGTCAAACCACTTGTGTCCTTTCATCTCTTTGAATCATTTGGCTTTATCACTGTGCAAATTAAGCAAGTATTTGAAATAAAATAATAATAATAATATTTGAATAAAAATCAGAAGCGAGACAGTCTTGTGTCGGTCTGACTGCTGGCTCATCAAACCAAGAGAAACTCTGACAGAATCACTGTGAAGAAAAAAAGGGGTTTGACCTTTTCACTGAAGACATTCAGACCTCGCAGAATGAACGTTTACATGTCTCTCATTGCCCTTTACAGCAGCATCCATGTTCACACACACACACACACACACACACACACACATCAAACGGATGATGTTAACACAGTGACAGTGGGTTTGTACAGAGTACTTATGAGCTGTGTTTCACTCATTACGACCCCCCCTGATATACCAAATGATGAGACACGTAGTTCCATGTAAAGTTTTTTTTCTTGACCTCAGCCCGTCACTCACATCACTCCCTCACACAGGTACTACATGTTACAAATGTCAGAGTACAGCGTGTGTGTGTGTGTGTGTGTGTGTGTATACATGTGTGTCAGTGTGTAGATGTTGGACCATTGACAGGCATGGAAGCAGCTTGTTGAACTAATAGCCTAACTAATGTGTCTACATCCCCCCCCAGCCCCCCCTCCTCACCGGCCTCTACCCTCAGCAAAAACTGACATTTACGGTACGAGGAGGGGAAGGTGGGAGGTAGAAAAAAGAGAGAAAGTAGGAGGGATAAAAGGGAAAAGGAGTGGGTTGACAAGCGGCAGACCCTTTCGCCCTCCCGTCTGACTCTGTCTATCTCCCCCCCCCCCCCCCCCCGGCTCCCTGAGGGTTTGTCTCTGAGGATAGTGCTATGATGAATAGGCCTGTCTAAGCTAACCTAGCAGAGACCAATTAGAGAGAGAGAAGAAGAAGAAGAAGAAGAAGAAGAGAGGAGGAGGAAAGTGAAGCAGAGGGAGAGTGAAACAGAGAGGGGAAAGAAGAGCAGATAGGTTAAAAAGGGAAGGTGGAAAGTTTAAAACTGTGTATGTTGAGTGCTGGTGTCTACATGTGTGTGTGTTTGTGTGTGTGTGTGTGTGTGTGTGTGTGTGTGTGTGTGTGTGTGTGTGTGTGTGTGTGTGTGTTGTGTGTGTGTGTGGCGGGCTGTCAGTGCTAAGGGAGAGGGAGTGTGAGCGGCGTCGGCCTCTTAAGTCTTAACCTCGTCTGCTGCTGCAGGAGAGGCTTTGACAGCAGAGACGCACAAACAGGACTGACCCTCACAGAGCACTTCTTCCTCCTCCTCTTCATCTTCATCTTCATCTTCCTCTTCCTTCTCCTTCTCCTCCTCCTCCTCTTCCTCCTCCTCCTCCTCGCTGTTGTGCTCCTTCTTCCACATCTTCCTCATCCCTCCACTCCTCATTTTGTAATTACTGTACATAGCACAGACTCTTGCACTTTCTGCTTATTTGCACTTCTGGTGAGATGCCAAACCTCATTTCGTTACTCTATACTTGTATATGTGTAATGACAATAAAGTTGAATCTCATCTCATCTCATCTCATCTCTGCCTGCTTACTGTGCTAACCACATTTCCCAGTGATCACCTCAATCAAGCAGTGTAGACTGTGCGTTACTTTTGGCATAAACCAAAATTAAATGGAGCGCCTAACTGTACTTTGCAGAACTCTGTTTCTGTTTAGATGACTGGATCTCAATGTTTTTCTTTTTTTAAACTTATTTTCTGGGTGTGTGTTTTTGACTTGTCTTCATTCATGTTTCTGCTGTGAATTCGTCTGTTTTTGAATTCGCAGCTCTGTCTGTCCTTATGGAAACCGCTTGTGCCATCGGGACTCACTTGCACTTGATGGCCAGTGTTCTAACGTCCACAAAAAAACAGTTTAACTCTTCTTCCAAAAGTTTTTTTTTGACTTCTGCCTTCGTTTAGACAGACTATAGAGTTGAAAATCAGGAGAGAGATGACAAGGGAACGGATC